GGGGGTGCGGGGGGGGGAAGGAAGTGATGTGACGATGATGATGAGAAGGAGCAGAGGAAGGGGGATCGCGCACAGGGGGCTTGGGGCACATGGTATGTCCCCACAAGCCAGCCACATCTGCTGCACCGCTTGGGTGTCCGGAGCACACCGGTGTGCATTCTTTTCATTTTCTAGTAGTCACTGGGCTTGGGCCAAGATTTGAGACAACGCAAGCACGATTTCAAGAAATAGAACAAGTGCGGCATGCTTAAGTAGGTTGCTCTTAATGTTTTGGTTCCTTGGCGGCCTACATGGTTCAGCTTATGCGCGAGGGAACAATACGCGTGTGTATATGTTTCTGTTGGGTATACGTACTGGTCAAACAAGGAGCCAGGGTTGCGACAATTCACGATCTAGGTGCTTCGCGCCAGGGACACGCCCGACACACGTAGTTTCGTTTGTTAGCGAACGCGGGAGTAAATTGAATTCCCACGCCCGCGATCATCGGGTCATCAGCCGCGAGTGGAAGTGGATCGATGATGAGGACGGGTGAAGCTTGCGAGAGTGACGCCTTAGGTGCTCCCCATCTGCGGGCGACGCACAGGTAACATGGGCGGCGGAATCCGGTTGTCAATCGCAACACCCCCCTGGGATAACCACTTCACAAGGAGGCTTTAGTCTCAGCTTCACCTGCTAACAAATGTTTATGGTGTGTTTGGAAACATTGGAGCGATGTTTTTTTTACCATGTGAGAAACGTTCGGGCGTGTCGTTCGCCTTCCGCCTTGGATCTTGGCGCGCCCAAACCTTACGTTCCCCTTCGCACACCCGACGCGCCAATCATTCTGCTGTAGGTTGTGCTTTCCAATCAATTCCACCTTCCCTCAACGCATGGAAGGAGCAAATGCACCTTTCGGCGTGCGTTGGGGAATACTCACCGGATAATATTACAAAGCAAATCCTCGGCGGTGGTTTGGCGTGTCTCCACGTCACATCTTTTGCCGACCAAGCGTGGAACCACCATCTACTTCTGCTCGAGAAACACACTCAAGAGAGACTACGCCGGAAAGGCTCGTCGCGTGATATCTACAGGGAGGGACACTACTTAACATCGTACAACTAAGAATAGCTCAACAACACAAAGGGGCCCAAAGGGCCAAAGGGGACGGGTCTAGGCGTTGAATCGTCCAAGGGTGGACAATCGCCACCAGTACCCAAGTGGCAGGGGTAAACATGGAGAGGGCCATTATAACCTCCGAGACACAACGAACGAATCGATCGAGGACGCGGACGACTGGAAAACTTCTCCCCTAGGCGACGGGGCAGAAGGTTTTCCCTAGGACCGTATGCGTCTCCTTCCAACATACACATTATACCATCTAACATACTTGCCGCCCGTCATGCTGGCGAGCGAGTTCGAGACTTGCGGGGAGAAACAATCGCCTTGCTGCTACGTAGGTTGCCGTTTCGGGAGCCGCATCAGAAATTACATAGGCCGCAAGTGGGCTTTAACAGTGGCCTGCAGAATCGATCATCACCTCTTCCTTTTAATCGTATTTCATTCGTAAATCGTCTCCACTGCTGAGCATGCGTCACCACAGAAACATTGGGACAGTATCCTTTACGGTGGTATGACCCCAGACGTTCTGTGAGCGTCATGCGCCACGTGCCCACAACCTGCGGCGGGGGTAGCCCATCTCTTGCCACTTATCATGCGCGCACCTCTCCCCAGTCATCATGCGTGCACCCCCCCCCCACACCCTTCCGCTCTGCACCAACCCCCCCTGGTTTAACCAGTCAAACGCCAACCCTCCAATTCACACTATCAGTCGCCGTCTGGGCTGGTCACCGTCAGGCCCGAAAACGCCGAGTTCCACCTCCATCTCCCCGTCGGAAAACGCGTCGCCCCCCTGGGCGCTGGTTGTCCCGGCGCGGGTGCTCGCGCTGGTGATGTGATCTGAGAGCGCGGCATACTTGGTCGCCGCCGTGACCCCGCGTCCCAACATCGTCGGGCCTACGGACGCTTGAGGTTCGGGAGCGCCGCCGTCGGTGTCGACGCTGCTATGTCGTCCATACTCCGCCAGGTGGCACTGCACCTGTTGGGAGGGGGGGTGGTGCGTGGGGGTAAACTGAGGGGGGGGGGGGGGGGGGGGGGGGGGGAAAAAAAAAAA